GCGCCGCCAGAACCCCCCCAGAGCACCGCCACCCCCCTGCCAAGCACCACCGGAACGCCCCCCAGCACCGCCAGAGCCCGTCTACTGCCGCGCCGCCGGAGCGCCCCCCTCCCCGCGGAATGCCGCGCTGCGCTCCCCCCACCGCCCCTTACCAGGTGCCGCCCCAAGCATGTGCTTGGGTGCCTGGTGCCTGGAGCCGGCCCTGTGTCTGAGCTTTTGGAAGAGTCAGAGCCAAGTAGCTGAACCCTTAGAAATTCCAAACTCCATAGGTTTTGCCCTTCAGGACACCCAGGTGAGCAGATCCTATGAAAGGATCATACCAAGGAATGACTCAGTTGTCTAAGCAATTACCTAGAGGCCCTAGAACATGCAGTTCAAAGCTCCATCTGGGTCCAATGTGGCTCTTCATCTCGCAAGGATCAATCACATGTCATGCTTCTGCAGAATGAGACGGCAATGTTCTCCCGGGACCATCTGGCTGCAGGAGTTGAGCCCAGGACTTCTGGATCTAAAGATATGAGCCTCTTACTCCTGTAGCAAAAGGACCAGGTCCATTAACTCCAGGGCTGTAACAGACTCATAAGCCACTAAGTGGGGTCAGAGATCCACACTGTGATAGCAGCTTTTAGACTAGTGGGTCTCAACCTTTCCAGACAACTGGACCCCTTTCAAGAGTCTGATTTGTCTTACGTACCCCAAGTTTCACCCCAGTTAAAAACTACTTGCTTACAAAAATCAAACATCAAAATGCAGCACAGTTACTGAAAAATTGCTGACTTTCTCATTTTTACCACATGATTATAAAATAAATCAATTGGAATATAAATATTGTACTTACATTTCAGTGTATATATATTATACTATACTATCTAGGGCAGTATGAACATGTCACGGTCTGTATGAAATTTTAGTTTGTACTGACTTCACTAGTGCTTTCTATGTAGCCTGTTGTAAAAGTAGGCAAATATCTAAACGAGTTGGTGTACCCCCTGAAAGATCTCTGAATACCCCCAGGGCTACATGTACCCCTGCTTGAGAACCACTGTCTTAGACCACCCTAAAAACCACATCCTACCTGCTTTGCATGGATACTGAAGGATCCCAGGGCATGTTTTTAATGACCCTCAAAGTCCTCACATGCCCTTGTGCTACAATAGGCAGTGGGTGACGCCCGACACTCCTGTGCAGTTCCTGTATGGACCCCGCAGACTCTTAGTGCAGTCCAGGGGTCAGAGGTGGAGAGCGTGGCTGAAGGATGCCATTGGATTTAACCTCTTGTTTTCCAGACGTACGGCGGTAAGAACATGAAGCGGGTGGGGACCATCCTGCAGCGTGGCACCCTCATCCTGCTGCTTTGCTGCTTCCCCTGCTGGGCTCTCTTCGTCAACACCGAGCAGATCCTGCTGCTGGTCCGGCAGGACCCGGAGGTCTCCAGGTTGGGCGTGTGCTCCAGTTTGTACAGCTCCATGCTGCGGGTCACACTCTCTCCAAGAAACCAAGGGGACGGGTGCCTTACATTTACGTGCTAAGGCCTCAGTGACACCGGAGCAGCCCCCTCATGGACCAGGCCCTGCCCTCAGCAACACTGGTGGAGCACTCCCTTCTCCCCATTGGCCGGGCCCAGCCCTCGGCGACACTGGTGTAGCACTCCCTTCTCCCCATTGGCCGGGCGCAGCCCTCGGCGACACTGGTGTAGCACTCCCTTCTCCCCATTGGCCGGGCGCAGCCCTTGGCGACACTGGTGGAGCACTCCCTTCTCCCCATTGGCCGGGCGCAGCCCTCGGCGACACTGGTGTAGCACTCCCTTCTCCCCATTGGCCGGGCCCAGCCCTCGGCGACACTGGTGTAGCACTCCCTTCTCCCCATTGGCGGGCGCAGCCCTCGGCGACACTGGTGTAGCACTCCCTTCTCCCCATTGGCCGGGCGCAGCCCTCGGCGACACTGGTGTAGCACTCCCTTCTCCCCATTGGCTGGGCCCAGCCCTCGGCGACACTGGTGGAGCACTCCCTTCTCCCCATTGGCCGGGCGCAGCCCTTGGCGACACTGGTGGAGCACTCCCTTCTCCCCATTGGCTGGGCCCAACCCTCGGCGACACTGGTGGAGCACTCCCTTCTCCCCATTGGCTGGGCCCAACCCTCGGCGACACCAGTGTAGCCCCCTCCATTGGCCGGGCCCAGCCCTCGGCGACACTGGCGCAACCCCTCTCTCCCTATTGGGTTCTGCCATCAGCCCGCCCCATGTAGCCCTACCATCGTATTAATTGGGGTCACATCCATGGGTATAACCCAAGGCACAATTTGGCCCTGAATCTTGCTGCCTTTTGAAGGCAAATTCTCTGCCTCCCTCTTGCACAGCAGCGGATTATCCCGTGGCAGGCGGCTTATCAAACGGGTCTCCGCAGGGGAGCCATTTCTTGTAACAATGCTGCTGAGCTGTGGCTCGGTAGGAAGGTGTAGCCGCAGTGGAGGAAGGTAGAGGATAGCTGGTCCTGCTGGTCCCATACCCCCCTACATTACCCAGCGAGTGCGGAGGGGCAGGCCAGGGCTGGCAGGAGAAGAGGGAAGATGCCCTGGTACTAATTGTGGGGTTTTGTATCTTCCCCCAGGTTAACCCAGGTTTATGTGATGATTTTTATCCCAGCTCTTCCCGTAAGTTCCCATTACCCTCGACTCTCTCGATCAGTCACTGCTAGGAAGTCACTTCCCCCAGAGCCCAAAGCCAGATGCCACCTGCGCCCGCCCCCTCAGCTCAATGGAGTCCCATGGCCCCTTTCTCGCCTGCAGTGGCTTCTTGCATGCGAAATAGTCTCTCTCCTTCCTGCAGGAATGTTCAAAATTGGGGACAGCCCTGGGTGGAGCCTCGCAAGATCTACTTGGGCACTGGCCCCGGGCAAGTGCTCTGTGGGATTTTTAGGACAGGCCAGTAAACTCTCTTCGCTTTTTCATTCTCTTCAAGGGCTAGTGAATAGATAATGTTATACTACTAAAAAAAGAACAGGAGTACTTGTTGCACCTTAGAGACTAACAAATTTATTAGAGCATAAGCTTTCGTGGACTACAGCCCACTTCTTCGGATGCATATAGAATGGAACATATATTGAGGAGATATATATACACACATACAGAGAGCATAAACAGGTGGGAGTTGTCTTACCAAGAGGCCTCTCAGAGGTGGTAAGACAACTCCCACCTGTTTAT